TTAATAAAAAAATACATATTTACTCATGATGCAATGTTATATACAGTCAATGCAACAAGTACTCTACTTATTGGATCTTCGATTAACGAAAGGTTCAATGAAATAAGTTATATTAAAACACATGTATTCTACTTCATACTACATTCATGTAATAATGAGTATTGACCAGCTTACTATACTATTGATGCATATATAGATCTCCCTGTCGCTACCAGGGCACAATCCCCCCATCCCCTAAATGAGCTATATTCTATATTAAACCACGCGTATTCTACTCCATACTACATTCATGTTACAATGGGTATTGACCAGCTCATATAGATTCGCGCATAGATCTTTCCGTCGCTGCCAGCCCGATGTCCAAAAACAATGGCAACAGAAGTATCTTTACTACGTCGATAAAAAAATTTACATAAAAGGAGTGGATACATTTTCTTTTTTAAATTGGTATTAAATTTCCACATGTTAGTCCAAACTGGCCCACGCGAAATATTAGTGTGAAATGTAATTACAGATCGTAGCCCTCGATGTCCAAAAAATAATGACAGCTGAGATATTTTTACTACGTCGATAAAAAATTTACATAAAAGAAAAGGTGGATACAATTTTTTTTTAGAAAATTGATATTAAATCAATCACATGAGTTTAGCTGGTACAGTTACACGGGTTGAATAATACATATTGATACCACCTACTCAAAATATACAGCTGCAATATGTTTATAGATAAACGGGAGCCATGGTGGGTCAGGGAGTTAACCACTGGCTCGCTAACCGGGAAGTCTCGGATTCGCTTCCGGTGTTGGCCAAGAAAGTTGCTCGAGACTTTCCGTCGAGGTTTCTGATGGGACGAAAACTGTGTACACATTGATATGCGCGTAAAAGAACCCTTGGCATTTGGAGTTCGGAATAAGAGTAAATCGTAGCGCCGCTGTCTGGGTAAAATTCCAATCATAGAACCCTAAAAGCGTATTCCTATCTTTAGAAAAGTAGGACGTCAAATCCCATTTCATTTCATATCATTTTATATATGAGCATAATATGGTCCACTAACTATAATAAATGCTTTGGGAATTGTGATTCTTTTCAGATGCTATTTCTGATTAATCTGTTAATGTAAATCTTGCCGATTCGGCATCATGGAATATCCCCTTATAAACTTGTCACATGATTTTTGACCAGAGTTACCTTTCTTGTATAAAAGTACTCGATTTAGATATCAATTCCGGATCATTATTTCTTCTTATACAAATCGAAACTTATAATGAATAGTAATCGTGAAGTTTTAATAAGTCTTGGGTCAGATTAATTTGAATAAAGTGAACTAAATTTAGAAAATAAATGAAACGACTGTCATTTTATTCATTCGGATTGTTTTGCGATTTCCGCCTTGTTTATCATTTTGAGATTCCGTCTTGAGGGAAATGAGAAAAAGAAATATTGTAAGCTTGACCAAATTGATTTGTTCGTAGGAATGTTTGATCTTTAACGTTGCTCATTTATATTAGTGACATCTGTAAGTTGTGGGTAGGTTCGTGTAGATTACTAGTTAACCGTCGCACACGCTCGATAATTAAAACTTTACTATGGATACCTCCATAGAATAACTTATAGCCACACACTGTGTGCAGTATAGTTAATATTCGTTCCGGGTACTATCCAATTCACTGTTTACTAATTGGATATGTACATTTCTGCCTACTTGAAATATAAATTCGGTGTCGCTATTATATCAAGATGTTTTTGTTTTTATTTATCAAATTAAAGAGACAATTGGATATATCCCAAATAAGCATTTAAGATATCTTTAGGAAACTTTGTGAACTAATTCGAAATTTCTGGAGTTAATATTTTTTGAGTTTCCATGGTTTCAAACTTGACTAAGTCATCGTGTTATCTTTGAACCACAAAATATTTATTTCAGTACTTTTGACGAGGAAACAAAATGATTTCCTTCTGTGTCCCTTTCGGTCTATCGGAGGCTCTAGTACATTCTTGGGTGACTGGATATGACATCACATTCAAATCATCTAACCCATAAGAGACAATAAAGCCTTTTCCCAATCCCAATTCAGATATAATTCTGAATACAATATTGTTATAAAAAACAACCAAGAAAACCTCTCTTGGTTTTATCCATTTGAAAACATTAGTCACGCTTAATCAAAACACGGGGGGGTTGGATGGCCGAATGTTTAACGCGTGTGCGCTGTATCGTAAGGTCTGTCATTAAGTCAACTGGCGTGGTTTTGATTCCCCGGTTGTACGTGACAAGGAGTAGGGTTGCCTGTCCAACTTCGTGGGTTTTCTCCTGGTCATCCCCTTACTGCTAAAGACCCATGCGCGCAAGTGAATTATTGAAATAAAATTGAACCATATGTTAGTCCAGAAATGACCTGGTTTATGTCGAATGGACGTTAAACCCCATTACTCTCTCTCTCTATGTAACTAACCTAAACACATGTACATATGATATTCGACTTAGTTAATTATATATTGATTTAATTGGAAAAAATCCGTAAAACACTGTATAACCTCCGTGAATTATTCTACTCGTTTTGTACAGAACGTGTTTTATCTAGAAAAGTAATCCATTATGGAAATATTGCTAATCTTCATGTATAAAAACACGTGTTTTGGACACAATTTCAAATAAAGATATTAAAAAAGTGATATCAGTTTAATATACAAAATGAAATAAATAGCTGAATTCAATCAGAATTAAACTTTTTTTTTTATTTTATAATATATCCATTCAGCAAATAGTAAATCTAATACTTAATACTTTGTTGAATTGAGGACTTAATGCAAAGGTTACTGTAATCTAAAAATTAATATGAAAAGATCAATTAATCAATACTAAAATAGTTTATGAAGTTTTTAAAGCGATGACTTCGGGTAAAAAAAGAAATACATTTCCATAATAGTGCAATAAATAATCATAATTAGGCAAAACTATTCCTATAGTCACTGTGGACGTCTCTTTGCTTCCAGAGCATCTACAATCCAATAAAACAAAAGATTCAGAAAGTATTAGCTCCAAAATTAAATAACCATAATTAGATAAAACCTTATTCTAATAATAACTGGAGTATATAAAAGTCACTTAGTTTACATATTCCACAAATAGTAAATTGTTTCTTATCATCGCAAACCATAAATAACTAAAAGATTCATTTAGTTTCTTCGGGCGTCGTCACGATTCTTAGATTGTGCAAACCTTGTTTTCAGTCATTAGAAATGTTAAGGAAACATTATCAATCCCTCAGTGGAAAGTATAAACAGTTAAATACCCAATACCACCCTTGTTGTAACTAAATAATATGTCCCAGCTCTATTCTGGTCAACAAAGTGTACTATTTTACAATATTCTAATTAATTGATGATACAAATTTCATCTTAACGCACCTAATTTAAAAAATTGGAAAAATTCAACTAAATGATTTGAAAAGCTTGACGTAAAGCTTTTCAAATGTGACTTGGATTTAACAATGTTTTTGAACCCTTTGGACAAGTAAAATAGGATTTAATAGATAATTTACACAACAGGCAGGACACGAACACATCTAGTACTTAGAATAAGGCCATTTTTTATTTTCTGGAGCTGTCAAGCCAGCAAGAGTGTTATTGTCCCTTTAACAGATTTAGGATTTAGTTCCTTTAGAAATCGTCACTGATGTGTAACACACTAAAGATATTATATAGCGAAAAATAGAAATTCGTGGACTTTGTTTTAGCTCTTTGGCAAATCTGAAAGAGGCATTACTTTCTCTCGCTGAAAACCGTAACCAGCTACGGGATTCAGGATTTAAGGGTATTTTTTGGCGATCGTCACTATTCTTAGTTTATGTCATACACAAAATATATTATAAAGAAACAAACTCCGCACGTTCATGGACTTTAATTCAACATTCGAAAATTTTAAAGTGGAATTATGACTATCGCCAAGAAAATAAATATAATCAATTATGATTAATATCATATTTCAGATAACCATAGACTCTCCTAGAATATTCATAATCAAACACCGTGTTACTTAAAGTATTGTATTTTGGATCAGCGTTCGCCAAACCCCGTGAAAACTACTAGAGTATATGTATGACTCAAGCAGTGAAAGTTAAAACGGGTTAATCTCAAGAATGATCCGGCCAATTTGTCTCAAGTTTTGCATAGCCAACAATCTAATATGAAAATATCCTATATAATTATACAAATATTGTTTTACTATCTGGCGCTTTCATCGTTTAAAATAACTAATTGTTAAAAATGAACATAGGGTTTCCTATCTTCGCCAACTTTTTCTGAAGTATAGATATAAATATACCGAATTATACAAGGGGATTAACCCCCCCAAAAAGGACAATAAGACCCGTTTTGTTATCATCGGATATGACATATTGAGACAAAGAACATTCACTTGTAAATTGCCATATCGCATGATAATATTCCTAAAAATCAATGAGAATACATGTGCTTCCAAAGATAAAAATGCAGCTATATGTACAGAATGATCAAACCCATGCAACCAGACATAACGTTCGATCATCTTCTTAAAGGCGAAGAACATAAAAAGAATAACCATTTGACACCTCTGTTCAAACATATAAAAATACAGAATCAATGTGGACAAGTGTGACAACATATCGGAAACATATAATCGTATGTTTTAATATCCACATCGGAATCAATTTCACAAATACACGAGTCTTCATATATACATCAACGAAACCAGGAAGACCCCTGACAAAATATTTTTCTTATAAATAATTACAAGTGTAAAAAAATAATTTCTAAATATCCGACTGGGTGTATTTGTTTAATATCTCTGTAGACTATTTTATTGTCAGAGTGAAGGCGTTTATCGGTTTCCTAAAACAACACTAAGACATTGTTTAGAAAAAAAATCAGCCCAATAGATCTTATCTTTTGACAAACTATAGTACAATGACTATGAAAAGACAATGCCTTAGATTATAGTATATTGTTATAATAAATACCTACCTTGTTTGAGCAGTTCCTGATAATAGCGCAAGTAAATTCAATAAAGACTATATCGAGTTTTCCGTTTTCTTTGTAGTAAGTTAAATTAGTCAATAGAAGATGGCTAAAAGCGTCCTTAGAAACTCTGGTGGACTTTGTATCAACAGTTAGTTTCACATCCCGAGAATAGATAAAGTGTTGCATAAACTTGTTAAAAAGTTTTCATTAATTCCCCCTACGGCGGGCTATCCATTGCCGAAGTCGTATGAGCGACTGTTGTACACTGACTTGGAGATGGTAATAACAATTTATCCGCCTCTTCGCTCATTCAATTAGTGGTTCCGCTGATCAATGACGTTGAACGAGTCTACAATAGGCTGGTAGCCGTCGATGGGGTTTTACCATTGATTGCTAGGAGAACAAGTCGACAATAGCCATACGATTATCACAACTTACAAAACACAAGTACTACAAATAGTCCACTAGATTTCATACTAGAGTTATAGAGAGACGAACACACACGTATTAAGTCGAGCAAACACTTTACAAACAAAACTTTACACGACCATCAACGATAAAATAGTCAAGCAAATACTCAGCTCCTGCGACCATAGTTAACATTAGTTAACATAAAACTTTTCACTATTGTTTTTTATTAACATTTCAAAAACAAAATGACGATTTCTTTCTGCAACCCAACTTTACCAAGAAAGCTTTACACGACCATCGACGATAAAATAATCAAGCTCCTCCGACCAAAGTAAATATAAAACTTTTCAAGGACTTTCACGATTTTTTTTTTAATAAACATTACAAAAATAAAATTGAATACTTAAAGCATACACGTTTAAGCCGATCATTGACGACTTCTTTCTCGAACCCAACTTGAGAGAATCTGAGATTGAAATAGGAAATGCTACTTTATATCAAGTAGAGGAAATAGTTTATTTAAATGGACTGCGTTGTTATTTAATGATTTTAATCACGATAAAATAAACACTCCCGTAACCTCGTTCTCGGATATACATATTCACTGACGTAGGGATGTGGTCAATTTGAAGGAAATGCAATAAATGATGACGCGTTCATGCAAAACAGAAATTAGAAACAGACCATGACGGGCCGAACTAAAAATAGAAAGCTTGTATTAACCCCGTGCATGTGGCGTAATAAAGTACACACTGCCAGGATTACAGCACCCGCCATTATAGAATAGAATAAGGAATTACTATAAAAACCGTTCTTCAATGCAGCCGTATTTCATAAGTTCAAGCAGGACATAACAGGTTAACAGCAGCTATAAAGACATTATAAAGTTTGTTTACACGCTGTCGTGTATCAGGTCAACCAACTATGTATTTTAGTGTACATTAATAACGATAATAATTGGTAATCTAAAGCATCTTTTCTATCATGAAATTTAACACTATAACTCGAAGAAGCCCTGGCATACAGGGTCAGCTAACTAGGTATTTTACTATACATTAACAAATAACCAATAACTGTGTAACATATCCATCATCTAGAGCTATTGAAGACGGGCATATACACTATGCAATGTGCTCTGACGGAAAGTTTCTCAGACAGTGGCGTCTTCACCCATTCTTCAATTGTCAAAACGACTAGATGATGTTCTTTACCAGAACCTCCGTCCTAAATGGGGGATTGGGTGGCCTAATGGTTAATGCATGCGTGTTAGATTGCTAGGTCTGTCATTGAGTCAGGTGGAGTGGTTTTGATTTCCTGTTTGTACGTGGCAAGGAGTAGGGTCGTTTGCCCAACCTCGTGGGGTTTTTCCGGGTGCTCCGGTTTCCTCCCACAGCTAAAGACCCCAATGTGTCGATTGGACTTTAAAACCCATCTCTCTCTCTCTCTCTCTCTCTCTCTCCGTCCTTAACCACTTACAAGGGAAACTCAGACTGGAAAATCCCGAGGAATTCTCTCGGCCAACACCAGGATCGAACCCGTGGCCTAATAGTTAGTGAACCAGTGGTTTACTCACCGAGCCACCGTGGCCCCGGTTGTGTTATCACTATTGCTATAATATACGTTTTTTTAGTTTTACAAGAGAGATCAAATGAAACAGTAGCACGAACAGGTAAATTCTTTTATTGGATTATATCAATTGCAGAGAGACGTCCACTCTATACAAACTAGGACTAACATATGGTACAATTTTATTTCAATAATTCGCATGCTCGTAGGGATCTATAGAAGTAGGAGCGAACCATATAAAATCATGTGTGCAGTCTAGTGAGTCTACCCTATCCCTTTAACGTACGATCTTGGGATCGAAACCACTCCGCATATCAATGGCAAAAGTAATTTCATTTATTGATATATAAAACGATGAAATATGGATGGTTGTGTCATTGCATGTTGAGTACAAAATCTAGTATTAATTAATAAAGTAATTGCAACAGATATATGTCATTGCATGTTATTTTGACTGATCACAGGTCCCCGGGCTAATTCCTTGAGATCATTTAGTTGACGCTAAATGAATAGTAAAAAAAAAAACCCAAAACAAAAGATGTAAAATAAAATAAAACAACCCAACACGTACATAAATAAATCTTAATACAGAAATGCAGAAAATGAAATGAATCCCCCCTCCCCCACCCCCACCCCACAAAAAAAAACCGAAACAAAAAGGAAAAAAAATCAACTCAATACACCCCCACAATGCAAGACCCAAAAAACCTATCAAATAATAAAACAAAACTTAATTTTCAAAAAAAAAAAAAAAAAAAGTACATCACAGATGGTTATCTTGAATTAATAGGAGATGGACGGCAAATCGCTAAATAATCCCACCTTCGCATTCTACGATGATGGGGGAGGCCAAACCAAAGGGCACTATCACATCGTATTTATGATGTATGACAATATCTCATATCGCTGCATAGATGATATGACTATCGTCCAATTAAAGCGAATACTTTCACACGGAAGTTGATAATGGCACCCAAGGACATCGCATGTGAATATCCTATCAATTAAAAATCATGGTCTACTTACTATTCATGCGTATTTCTAATAGACCAGATACTTTACACATTCATTTCTAGGTTAAAATGAAACTGGGTGTAACGTCCTACCTCAATCGGGTTAATATAGATCTAGTGGTCTAACGCGCGCGCTTTTTAAAAAAAATAGTAAGGTATGTCACTGAGGCAAGTGGCGTAGTTTCGATCCCAATCGTATCTTTGTAGGTTCGCATGGCCAACCCCACGGATTTTCTTCATGTCCTCCGGTTTCCTCTCATTGCTAAAAGACCCCTACGCGCACGTGAATTATTGAAATAAACTTTACCGTTTGTTAAACCCCGTTTTTCTCTCCAATATCGCTTGTAATGCAGTTGTTTTAGGTCGATACGGAGAATACGAAAATATCGTGTAAGTGAGTAAATAAATAGCAAGTGTATGAGTAAATTAATATCGAATATATGAGTAAATGAATATCATGAACATGAATAAATGAGTTCTAAATATCGAGTATATGAGTAAATAAATACCAAATATATGAGTATATAAATACCGAATATATGAGTTAATAGATACAAAATATAACATAAGTAAACAAATACCGAATATATGAGTAAATGGCTATCGAATTTATGATTAAATATAAGTAAATAAATACCGAATATATGAGTAAATAGATATCGAATTTATGATTAAATATAATATTAGTAAATAAATACCGAATATATGAGTAAATTGATATCGAATATATGAGTAAATGGGTAAATAAATATCGAACATATGAGTTAATGAGTAAATAAATATCGAGTATATGAGTAAATAAATATCAAGTTTCTGAGTAAATTAATATGGGATGTATGAATAGATAGATACTGAATATATGAGTAAATAAATATCAAGTTAATGAGTAAATAAATATCGAGTTTATAAGTAAATAAATATCGAGTTAATTAGTAAATAGACACCGAATAAATGAGTAAATATATACCGAATATATAAGTATATACATACTATATTATTATGTGTAAATAAATATCTAGTAAATGAGTAAACGAGTAAATAGATACAGAAGATATGAAAAAATAAAGATGTACAAGAGTAAAGATGTATCGAAAATTATAATACTTGTTTCACGTAAATGGATATAGATCGACAGTGACAAATAAAAGACCAAAAAAAACCCCACGTCCCGAATAAACATCATCAAGGTTAAATGAAGATATCCAAGAACATCATCTAGATTTACTAAAGATATTGAAGAAATATTGTTTGTTTTTTTCATTTGCGAACTAACCTATTTAACCCGAGGATAGAAGATACAGATATAATCAATTGGTTAAAACATGCAAAATGACAGTATATCAATATTAATCTCCCGAGAAACTTACATCAGAAGAACAGTCTAATTGTAATTCATCAAGCCAATTAAAGCAACAAACAGTTGTATCTGACGAATTCGGTAAATCCGATCATTGTTTTCTTTTTCAGGAAACAAACCGATTGCATGTGTGGCGAGGTAGGGAGAGAGAGAGAGAGAGAGAGAGAGAGAAATGGGGTTTAACGTCCACTCGACACAAACTAGGTCATTTCGGGACTAACATATGGTTCCATTTTATTTCCATAATTCGCTTGCGCGTAGGGGTCTTTAGCAGTGGGAGGAAATCGGAGGACCCGGAGAAAACCCACGAGGTTGGACAGGCGACCCTACTCCTTGTCACGTACAACCGGGGATTGGAAACCACGCCAGTTGACTCAATGACAGACTTAATGATACATCGTGCACGTGCTAACCACTAAGCCATCCAACCACCCGGCGAGGTAGGGAGGGATACGCTACGTTATTTAGGGTCGCTAACAACTGCTTTGTGTTTTTGTTTTTTCATAAAGATGCCATTGGGTTCACGCCAATTGTATCCGGGCCGAGGTAGTGATCTGAATATTTAGGGTCACCAACAGCCGTTTTGTATTTTTATTTGTTCCTGAAGATTGGGTTCAACCCGATTATATTTGTACCGAAGGGAAACGTTACCCCGTTATTTAGGGTCCCTAACAACCGTTTTGTATTTTTGTTTTTTATGCTGAAGAATGTGTTCAACCCAATTGTATCTGAGCCGATGTAGGGGTACGGTATCTCGTTATTTAGAATCACAAACAACCGTTTTGTATTTTGACATTGTCCTAGTTACGCATCTTCTAGTTGATGAATTCCACAGCCTTAAGTATGCCGCGTCGTGTAGTCACTTCCTTTATATTTGATTGAGCTGTTCATAGATTCTGCTTTCATTAGCCTAATTGAGGGCAAAAGAATGTAGGGCGCTGAACCCAAATTCATTTCACAAATATCTAACAGTTGTATATATAAATATGTATAATTATTATTGATAACACTAAAATGAAAGTGCTTTCTGTTGGTGTTTAAAATAACTCCTGCCCATCTGCTCTCAGCGTACTACTTTGTGTTAAATGATACTGGCGCTGGAAACGTTCGGCCAACATCGTCCGTACCTTCTTATCTCGCGACACAGCGCCTTATTGACTATGTCATCGCTTTAACACCATTACGTCATTTG